GTTCAACACCCGCGCAAACTCCAATTCGTAAAGCGACGGGGCTCCGAAAGCGACTGATACTATCGCAGGGAAGGTCGTTTCAAAGGATTCTTTCAACATCGAACGCAGGAAATCCAGCCTTCCGTGTATCATCCAGGTCGTGTATTGGTACATTGTACTTTGATTTTCTAGATGTTGTATGAAAAAGAAGTGCATTGCACTTACAATGGGTAAAGTTCCATTACTTTCTCAATTACTTTACGGCCAAGTCTATTTACAAATAGTAAATTAAAAAGCTTTACCAAGGAGTTTTCTTAAAGCTGCAAAAAGTCGATGATCAATTGATTATTATTTATTATAATTGACTAATTCATCTGTCTAATCGATGATTTGACTTTTGTTCTATTAATCATTTACTTCGATCTTCCATTTTATTGGCACACGTATTAATAATAATATACGTAATTGCAAAATTATTTTACGAAAATCTCCTCCAGCCATGACTAATGGGCCGCGAATGAAAATATAAGTTTATTAAATTAAATAGATTTAATGTTGCAATGTGATTCGCAAATATCAATAATTCGATAGCCATTAAAGCTGAAAATTATTGCTTCGGGAATTAATTTAACTAGACTAGCTGAAAATGTGTCAAATGAACTTGTAATATAAATCACGTAATTAAATAATAAATTTTTAAAGCATTATTTATTTTTATTTTTTATAAATTAGAAATAAAGGCTTAATTATGCAGTTAAAATTCGCTTTTCCTTCGGATATTTTAGAACAATTTAAATTATGTCAAATTTATTTGAAATTACTTGTCCTATTTCTTTGGACACATTATTTTTCTTCTTCTTCTTCTTCTTTTTTTTATTTATTTATTTAATGTACAATATATGTGAAAAAATACGAAATTATATTTATAAGCAATTACAATTTTTATTTCGATAATACTTTGATGTTTCCAAGTTGCATAAATTATCGAAACGTTCTTCTGGTGTAGTCTGTAATTTTTTAATCTATGCAAATATCATTAGGAATCGTTTTAAGCAATTCTAGACGTAATATCCGTTACTTTAATTAGTTTTCTAATTACAAGAATTCTTGTGGGAGCACCGAAAAAAAAACCTTCGCTACCCACCCACGTGCCTTAACTATTGAGTGTTCGAACCCTGTGTATCTTATTGGATAACAACGTACGCCAATTTTATGCACCGTTTTTGTCAGATGTAATTTCGTATCGAGGAAAATACTTCAGTTTTTCTTCTGTTACAATTTACATTTCCGTACTAGTAAAATGTTAAATACTTTGTATTTTTCAAATAAACTATAAATGTTTCACTAAATAAAAGTTTTCTTGACTTATGTCTACCATATCGTGGATACATCATTATTATTTAGACACTATTAATACATTATTAATATTATCATATCGAATAAATATTAAATGTAATACACACATACGGATGTAAATAACGACGCTTCTACAATTTTTATTATGATATCCCTCAATATTAAATATACGACAATGTACTTACTATTGACGTTTGTTTATAGTCAATTTACAATCTATTGTGAATTACT